TTGGATTTCTCGTTCCTTTCGAAAAACTCGTTCTACGATGCAAGAGGTTAAAGTTTGTTAAGTTTTTTTTGGTTACAGAAAATAGTTATCAAAGTGCATTGTATAACCAAAACTCGCATTTTCTCGGAATTTTGTAATGTTTCTTGCTTTACCAAACTGTGACGTGACCGATACGACCCATTTGATCCAAACATCGCGTATCAAGTATTGGTGTCAGTCTTGATTACCTCCAACGTAATATAAGTAGGTTAAATGAAAACGTACGTTTTTTTTTCTGAATTTTATTCAAGCTTTGGGACGACGGTGTCGCCGACGCATATAACCCGAATGACATCTGTCTTAGTAGGTGTAATTTTTGGGAAGCACTTATATTTATTAAATACACCCTTACAGCGCGCCAATTGAATTATCAAAACTAGAACTTGGAAACAGAGAGCTAAAAAACATATCATCTGAAAAGAAAAATGCAGAGTAAAAGAAACTATGGAAAAAAAACGATAAAACAGCCTGCAAATTCAAATTTGAATTTCCGGTGTTAAAGTCTATTTATCAAGATCAAAAAACAACAAACTATTACCGAACACCGTCGTCTCAACGGAAAACACTGAAAGGGACTAGACGCACTCCTACCAGCCAGCAAGGCATAGTATACGAGTATGTCACGACTTCGGAACAGGTATACTGGCTGAAGACCCTAGGCATCGGCTGTTGAGCGGCTGGTAACTTTCACACCAATCATACTCAACTGCTTAGTGTGAGAAAGAGTACTTAGACAGTATTTCACCTGGAGGCCAGTAGACAAAAGAGTTGAAGCGTGAACACGATGAGAAGAAAAATCCTCAGTGCAGATAAAATGGAAATTCAGGGTCAGATGTACCAACACCTATGAAATGAAACAAACAAAATCGGTATCTAAGAGGGTAGCTTGGAAAAGTCACGTTGGGCAGAAGTAATTTGTGACGAGCGAATCAGCACCTAAAATAGCAAGAGATAGAGCTGAACTGAAGGAAAATAATATTTAGAAAAAAAAAACTGTGCAGTTAGC